GTGTACCTGGCAGTGTATACTTGGACAGTGTACCTGGCAGTGTATACTTGGACTCAGTGTAGCTGGCAGTGTATACTTGGACTCAGTGTAGCTGGCAGTATATACTTGGACTAAGTGTACCTGGCAGTGTACACTTGTACTAAGTATACCTGGCAGTATATACTTGGACTCAGTGTACAGGGCAGTGTATACTTGAACTCAGTGTAAACAGTGCAAGTAATAACTAAGAAGTACTAAAAATAAGAACTAGACTAGTTATCCGTAGACATGGGCAATTTGCCCTTCGTAGATTCAGTTCGGAATTCTTCGTAGTTTAACAGGATCGACATACGTCGAAAAACATGATTAAGACCGGAGAACAGCCGAAATGTTGTAATAGCAACACCAAAGATGCCCGGATGTAAATAGTGTAAATAATAGCTCCTCATCTCAGAAATTCAGGCAGAATTCAGAAGAATATTTGAGAATAAGGTGACTGGATAAATGAGCGTTCATTCTCGGCTATGATAATTCCCTCATGTAGGCTTAGTATGCAAGCGAATAGCCTATGGAAACATTTGATTAAGAAAGAATAGACGTTAAATTTAAAACTCCAAATTACACGCCCTGGTTGTTCTACGGAATAATAGCCAAGTGTATATAAGTGTTGGTTAAGTATTGTTTGTCGTCGTTATTTACATTTACAGCCAATGAAATTCATTTCAATAAGTAGAAGGGGCATCACAATGACGAAATAACAGAAGACGAGTTATTTCCTTTGGTATGGACAACGGAATGAGAAATGTTTAGCTGCGTTGATTGAATAAAGGATTCAGTTCGAAATTCCGAGTATTCGAGAAGAACATAAAGAAAATACAACGGCTGAAATGTTATGATTGTAGCCCGCGAAAAAAGGAGATCAGAGAGAATAAATGAACTTGTAATAATGATCATTCAGAAATACAGTCATATTTACAAACTGTTCCATTTCCACTAAAAACTATAAACGTATAAATGGTGTTTATATAGTAAAAATGCTACAAATGTTTTGCTCATAAAAAAGCTTGCACGTGTCTCGGAACTGTTTGAAATGTGAAATAGAAAAAAGGCTGTTTTTCATAAATAATAAATAGATCTTTTAAATTTCAAGGAAATAATCTTCGGCAAAGTTGACCCTTCGTATCTGCAATAAGACGGAGTGTCAAAAGGGACGGTTTTTCCCATGACACCGCTTTTATTTTAACTACCGTCACTAATCGACAATATTTATTGTTTTTTAAAAGCGATAATTAAAATTGTAATAATATTTAAACACGTGATGAAAGATACACTTTTTTTGGTCTTGAGAATTGATAACAAAAATACTAAACACTATTTATTGATTTGATTGTTTATTTACAAGAATGATTTTATATTTGCAACATTTTAAGAACTAATACATTTGTAGAGATCGTTTGGGTTTGAGTGTTGTTGAATTAGAAACACGTGCTGTTATATTCCTGATAGAAGGAGGTCCAACTACAAGAAAATGGCCGGACTCGAATTGTCCAACCGAAGATGAAAAGAAAACAAAGACCGAAATATATATGTCAATAAATATATGTATTAAACAACAAATTTACAAGTGACAAAAACATCAACATTTGTGTTTGTGTGTGAACGTAAAATATTTGTATTTTGATGAATGTTCGTACGTATGTGTGTTTCATGGCGTATTCCACAAATGGGAAAACGCTATCTTTTGCAAGAGATCACATTAGAGGTGTTTGCTGAAATGAAGAAATGAAAAAGAGAAGGAGGTAAGAAGTCGCCCACTATTTATAGTGTAGGGAGAGCGACCCCTAGTGACAATTAGGGAATTAAGGAGGAGCTAATTCCGACACATTTTTTATTGAAACTAATGCAATGTAATATTTATCCTTTATCAATTTATAAAGGAATAAATATGAAAAAATGTTATTCATAAATTTATAAACATTTTCTAAATTATTTAAATATGTGAATCAGCTATAAGGAAATATTTATTATTTACCATTTTATCGTTTGAATCAACTGGCAATTAGCCGATGTTTTACCAATCATTCAATTAAATAAATAGTGTAAACAGTCTAATAAATAAATAATGTTTATTATTTTTGTTGTCAATTCTAAAGGACAAACAAAATCTATAAAAATTCACTTTCATATGTTTAGGTTTTATTCTAATTCTACTCATCGCCTTTTAAAACAAACATTGCCGAGGAGTGAAGGGAGTTAAAAAAGCGGTGTCATTGTTGCGGGGATGGAGGTTGATGGTTGGTAAATGTTCTTTTGTATTTGCGATAAAAGATGATGCATTGTTGCGGTTAGCATAGAGTCATATAATGACGATTAAAATAAAGTCATATAATGAGATTTCAAATGAATTAACAAAGTTCAGCGCGGGCGAAAAAAAAACGATTATTTGTGTTTTCTACTTTCTTTATTTTCATTTGTTGAGAATTATTCCTTGACGTCTTCTGATTAGTCAGAATATTATTATATATTCTTATATTTGGCGGCAAATATTTATTTTGTCATTTTACCTTACCTTTTTTGTTTTTAACAAAAGTGATTATTGTGTTGAGGCACATTTTTAATAGGATAATGAATGCGTTGGAGTTTGTTCTCAAAAACAGAGTGAGAATTAATATACGACCAATTACGTATAATTAAAAACAACGTTTTTATTAGCCAAACAAAAGTAAATCGAATACAAAACGAGTGAATGAACGTATGTATGGAGTGATGTCGTTTATAGTGTGAAATTTCTACGAAAGATTGTGTGAGACTTACATTTGAGAAGAGTTCATTTCGTCCTCCTTTATTGCAGTGAATGCTGGACAACCTCTTCACAGATAAAGAAGAGACTTGAAATAACAGAAATCCGGTTCAACAGGAGGATGCTGTGAATACCATGGAACAAACATGGGAGCACCAACGAAGTTTTAGAGAAAATGGAAACAAAAAACAATACTTATACTTAACATCAGAAAGAGACTAGTTAAAATTTCCAGAGCACATAATGAGGAAAGAGAGCTTGGAAAATTTGATACTCACAGGACATATTGAAGGCAAGGAGGACAAAGAAAAACAAAGCATAAACTACCTAGCGAGCTTGACTGGATGGTAGAACTGGGCTTAGTATCATTTCAACATTCTGCCGAGAATCAGTATAGTAGCTGTGCACTTAGCTTAACAATATTTTCAACTTAATTTTACAATGCTAGCAGAGGGGAGACCCCATTTACCTAGTTACCCTCAAGTCAGCTGTTATAATCAAAGGTGAAAGGTCACTTGTGACTCTATCTGTTTGCTTTATGACAACAACAGGTTTGCAGACAAAATGAATACAAATACAAATGAACGTCTATTATAAACACATAACAGTTCCATAAAATAGAAGAGCGATATATGAATATAAAATTCGTTTTTTTTTTGTTTGTTTTTTGTTGGAGGGGGTTGACATACATTGCATATGAAGCAATTAAAATATCAAAGAGAATATATTTTTAAGCGATAATGTCAATGAAGGAAAAAACTACATCAATCCTGGGCGTATCAGATAAAATAATGTATACGATTCAGAATAATTAACAAATAACGTTATAAAAATGGTCAATAAAATGAAGTAAGTCATTTATATCAAAAGGTTAAAATAATTCTAAATTCTTCTTAACAAATAATATATTCGATATCAACTTTAAACTAAAATTATTTTTAAATCTTAAAAATAAAAATGAAAATAAAAATTACAGTAGAAATTATTGCAATTCGAAAAAAATTGTCGATATTTAATCGTTTTTGCGAAATTGATGCAGCATAAAAATCTATAATGTTGAAAATGATGACAAAATTAAGGACTGGTTGCAAAAATCTCTTTTTACCGAAAAAAACGGACAGGACTCAAATAGAAACGATACTCGAAAAACCGGGCAGGACGCGGACTCAAATAGAAACGATACTTGAAAAAAACTGGACAGGACGCGGACTCAAATAGAAACGATACTCGAAAAACCGGACAGGACGCGGACTCGCAAAGAAACAAAACTTGAAAAAAAAAAAAAAAAAAAAAGACAGCGCACGGACTCACAAAAAAACCCAACAGGATACAGATTTACAAAGGTACAAAACTCGAAAAAACCGAACAGAACACGGACTCGCAAAGACACGATACTAGAAAAAATCGGACAGGACACGGACTTGCAAAGACAGGATAGTCGAAAAACCACCAAAGAAACACAGTGCATACCGATAGAAATAACTCTATGAATACACACACAAAATTCTTTGATAATGGTTTATCAAAGTTGAAAAAGCTCAGAAGACACTCATCAATTTATGTTCAAATTCTCGACGGAAACCAGAAAAAATATTATGAATCGTATATAAAAAATAAAGATGATCTTTAATCAAATGTGAATAAAGAGAAACATCTGTCCAAATGTACCCCAAATATATGAGTGAGAGAGAGAGAGAGACAGAGAGAGAGACAGAGACAGAGAGAGAGACAGAGAGAGAGAGAGAGACAGACAGACAGACAGACGGACAAACAGAGAAAGACAGACAGAAGAGCAGACAGATAGAAGGAAAAAGAAAGAGAAAGTGAGCGGAGGCAGAAATATAAATAAAATAAAAATAAAACATAACTGTGTTGATCGTTTATCAAGTCACTAGCTCAGCGAATCAAGGGATTGTCATTGGTCAAGAATTAAGTCAAACATTACTGGATTATTATTATTATTATTATTATTATTATTATTATTATTATTATTATTATTAGTCATATTCCTTTAAAATATTTGCCTTTCAAACATCAAATTTTCTAAAACGTCTAAAACGAGAAGGAAGCTTGTGATGAACGGCTTGCAAGTTCATTTAGCAAGCTAACCACTGTTAATCGGACCTGAATTGGTCCTCTCCCCTCCATTTATGGCCGGGGGAATTATTAGTGACCTACTTGTTAGATGAAAGTTATGTGACGTCGATCAAAAGTGTCAATAATGCTGCCCAAGTGAGTGTTTGTCTAGTAATTAAGTGTGTAGTAATCAACTCGCAAGCAGACGTAAGTTCTCCAAAAAGGATACAACAAAAAACAAATGTAGGGAGGGTAAAAAAAAAGTAGTTGTCTGCTGCTCCTGCTAACAACACCCAAGTTTTTTCTCACTAAGTTTTGTTCATTTTTGTCGACCTTTGGAGTATTTTTCTTTCTTTAACAATAAGCATGAAGCTAATGGAATAGGAGATTTGATCATTTCAACTCGACAGACTTGAGGACAGGTAAGTCTTACTCTAAGAATTCAATGGTATAATGTAAAATTTTTATTTACTTTTTTGCAGATATATATATTTTGATAAAACCTGAAAGATCGTTATTATCACGTTCCTGTTCATGTGCTCGTCAATTTCTAGTTAACCTTCTGTGTAAATATAGATATCCTAATATCAAACAACTTACGGTCATGCCACACTGAAACACCGATTCTTGTATCACTGAAGTTGAGCAATGTCGAGTTTGGTCAGAACATAGATGGGTTACCGCTTGGGAATATCAGGTGTTGTAAGCTTGAATATTTGGTTTGGTTTATTTTGTTTTTTACGGCATATCAACCTCAATGGGTTATTTAATGCCGGCAAAATATTTTTTACAAAAATGTATAGATGGTAATAATTTTTCTTCAAAAATTTATTGCTGGTGATAATATTTTTACAATGTATTTCTGGGGTTCCATTTTTCCACTTTCATAGCGTTTTGACCCCAGCTTGGGGATTAACAATTTACCCATTGCCTGGACCCTACCAGGTGTTACCACCCTGGTCAGAGTGGACCTGGGAACACCAGCAATTAAGAGGTGGTTCCACACTCCTCAAAACCTCCTGATCTTGCTATTGGACGTAGTTTATCGTCATACCCAGGACGGAGCTTGGATGTGAGGTTGATGTAATGGATAATGATTCGGAATTGGAAGTCGAAGAACCGAGTTCCAATTTCAGTCGGGTTCCTTATATACGTGCAAATACCCTTGGGAAAAGTATGAATCCAACTGTTCTCACCCATCTATGAGTTAAACCGTACGACTTTTATCAGTAAATCTTTATCTTCAATAATTCTTACAATCTAAAAATATTTTCTGGCTTTAAATAATCCTCAAAAGGTTGACAAACCATAAAAAAATCAATCAACCTAATCCGAAACACAAGTGCAAGTATATCAGATTGTACCATAATCTTCGTTGTACATAAATTGAAAAATATGCAAATCGACTCGGAAAGAGAAACCAGAGACCCGATTTTGAATTCGTCGTGTTCATTACATTCACTTACGCGCAAATAGAATCTATTCTACCCCTACCTACGGGTTAAATAACAGGGCAGCCTGGGGCCTAGAGCCTTGGTTGGCAACCAGTCTACCACAGAAAGCAACGGCAACCCACTGCGGGAAAATCTTCTGCCTTATCAGTCATGCATCGAAAGAGTCATGATCGTCCAAGCGTGTATCCCGTAGGGCACTTGGCTGACTTTCTGTTGCAAGGAGGAGGATCAAGTTTACGGGTGATATTTCTTAAAATAAAAAGCTCATTCTTAGCTGAATGCCCTAGAAATACATTTCCTTGCTAAATCAAGTTTGCCTCTGCCACTAATAATACGAATGTACATACATACATACATGCATACATACATACACACATACATGCATACATACATACACACATACATGCACACATGCATACAAACAGGCATACATATCGACATACATGCATGCATACAGACATGTATATAAATGCATATATACATAGATGCATACATAGATGTGTACATATATGCATACCTATATACATTCATACATACGTGCATACATACATGCATAAATACATACATGCATACATGCATAAAGACATACATATATAAATGCATGTATAAATGCATGCATACATACATGCAATAAACGTGAATACATATATACATACATGCACACATGCATACATGCATACATACATGCAAACATACATACATTCATACATACATGCATAGAGACATATATATATGCATACATACATAGATGCATACATACATGCCTACATATATACATTCATTCAAACATACATGCATACATACATATATACAGACATGCATATATAAATGCATACATACATACATACATAGATGCATACATACATGCATACATATAAATATTCATTCATACATACATACATACATACATGCTTACATACATGCATACAGACATGCATATATAAATGAATACATACATGCATACATACATACATGCATACCGATTTGCACATAGACATGCATATATAACTACATACAGACATGCATACAGACATGCATATATAAATGCGTACATACATACATGCATACATACGTACATACATACAACCCAAAAAAGAGAAGCTTCAGATGTTCAACACCGAAGAATAATTCTAGTTAATTGGTAATCAAAATGTTTTAACTTGCACGATGACTTAGATCACGTTTGAATTAAAACAACTCATTTTTCTGTAATACAGTCGAGAGCAACAATTTATGTTCTCTTTGACTCTAGCGTTTTGGAGGTGCACCAATATACCCCGTTATATCATCAGCATAGAGATTCACAAAGGATCTGAGTATACTCTTCGGTAGATCAGTTATGTGAAGTAGAAAGAGGCTTGAACCGAGAAGCGAGCGGAGGCCTGGCGTTGATCGCTTAGGCCTCGGAAGACTGACCGTTAACAACTACTATCAGAGACCTACTCGTTAGGAATGACTTTATAATTGAGAAGAATCTTCCAGTAATTCCATAGCTAGAGAGCTTGAGCAGTAACCCACTATGACATACCTTGTCAAAGGTCTTTGAAATATCTAATCGTCCTGAAGATGTAATTTTTGTCTAATATCTCATTGATTCTGTGAGTTAGTTTGACAGTTAGGATATCAGCAGTGGACCGAAATGATCGAAATCTGTACTGTTTGTCGTTCAAGTGGCTGTCCCTACTGAAGTAATCAACAAACGTCTTATTTATTATAGCTTGAAACGTTTGTAAATAATATTGAGGAGGCTGATAAGTCTATGCTAAAATGGAGATAAGCACTCATGCGCATTCTTAAAAACAGGGTATACATTTGAAGCCTTCCACAGACTTAGGAAAAATTTCCCCTTCAAGCGGCAGTTAAATAGTTTCGCTAAGATCAGGAATAACTCAGGGGTGAACTAGAGCTGGCTGTTCTGTTTTAGATGTAATTTTGTTCTGGGGTATAAAACTCTCCATGCCAGAAATGATCCATTCCAAGATGAGGACAGGAGATTGGGAGAAGAATAAGCAGAGCATTTTCACACAGTACATCAGCTCATTCGGTGGCGCCTCACTACCAACTGACCAACCAGAGAAGAGACTGTTCCCACATGCGCAGTTAGGAATCTTCTACTTGATTGCCAAGTGGAATTAAAGCCAAAGAAGTTGTTTTAAATAGCTGGATACTTTCCAGACAGGCTCGTATAAAGAAAGATATGTGAGATGTAAACGGAAAATCGTATCAGTCAACAGAGTTACGAGTGAAATGTAGAAAATAGCATTTCCCTGGGCTCCGTTATTAAGATAAAATAAAGTTCATATCACTGGTATGCCACGATGGCTGATGGAAAATTGAATAGATGTGTAAACATTTGTACAAAATGACTCCCCCATCTCTACTTTCTTAGCCAGTCAGCAATTGCAAAAACTTAGCTGTTACACCTACTATCAACCTCGACAGTTATAATTAAACCCTGTACTAAACTATAAAGGATTATAAGATGCAGCATATACTCGCGGAAGGCTGGAGAAAATATTGACTGAAATAAAACGAAAAAAAAAACAACTACTTGTCAGCTAACACTACTCACGAGAATATTCGCTAAATTACGGTGGTGTAGTGGATAGCGCTTCAGAATTAGAAATCGGATTGCCGAGTTCGAACTACAGTCGGGGATTTTTATATTTTATTTACGCACACTTACTATTGCGAAAGGTTTCAATCTATCTATTCTCCCCTCCAGCTATGGATTAATTAATAAGACTTGTATCCGGAAAAAAAACCGTTAATCTAATATTCACTCACCCAAAACTTGCTCTTACAATCCAATATATATTTCAGCTTTAAATAATTCACAAAGGGTTGATAAAGCATAAATAATCCAAATCAATCAATCAACTTTGCTATATTAGGGACGTTGAAAAACTAGGTTTGGGTGAATTCGAAATTTGTGTTTAAAAAGAAAAATGGCAGAGAATGGCGATTACCAGCACCCTTTTTTTGTTAACAGATAAGGAATTATTATTTATTTGTTTCTGGTCACGCCCACTTGTTGATTAAATAGATAATGATGAGTAGATAAAGATAACTTCACTAAAAGGTCATATCAATCGGACACCCAGTGATAATTAAACTCACTAATAATGACTTGCGTGATGAGCAAACCTACCAGGCGAGTCCGCTGTCACACTCCCGAATAACTCTCTCTCACACACACACAAACAAACACAAATATATAGTGAGGATCGAACTTTCCAATTATTACTAGCTTAGAAGTGGCATTACAACCTCAGGCCGAAAGTATATATATATATATATAGGATATAATATATATATATATTATATAATTGTGCTATATAGATAATATTATAACCATATATACCACCTCGGTGTTATATATATATTATATATATATATATATATATATATATATATATATATATATATATATATATATATATATATATATATATTGTGTATATTTAGGCAGCAATTTTTCATTAATGCATGTTTCATTAAATAATATAAACAAGTTTTGTCTATTTATTTTAAGTAAGTTCCTTTCATATTGTCTGATAAAATTAATAACATTATCATTGAAAGTTAAAAGGAAATCACCATATTGATACATGTTTAAATCCTGTCTAAGCTTTCAGCTTACATAAGCCATTATCAAAGATGACAATTACTTTTCAATATATCAACCAATACACAGACGAAACAATAATGATAGTCTCTTTTTGGTGCATGAATAATTTCAAAGCAACGACAAACTCCTGTATACGAGACGCAGAAAAGAAAATCGCGACACAGGTCATGACGTCACATATATATAATGTCATCTAAAGACAGACTGTTTCGCTCATCAGTGTGGCTAGATTTCCGGTTGCCTCTAGCTAGGATCGAAACCCGGAGATTCTACCCCTAAGCCGGTGGAACACGGCAGGGATGAAGGTGAATTTAAGCGTATTTATTTTTAGATAAAT